CATGAAGCATGATGAGAAATTATGAAGTATTATAATAAAGGTGTTTTAAACTATGGATTCCGCTGTGAGAAGTATGAATATGTCTATTGATTTCTTTCCAAGAAGGATTCGTCTTAAATAATTTTGAAACCCGTGTTGTAGAACATGATTATGTTTTATATGACGTCTACATGAAGATGTGACGCCTTTTGTGGTTTTAACTTGTTTTATTTTCGTAAAAATTCATGTGAAGTATATGTGAGTTTAGAAGGGTGTTACATCAGTGTGAGAGTCTGGTCCGTTTGTACGGCTAGGTTGTTGATTCTGTAGTATATGACGGTGGAATACTATCGAGATAGTTTGTAACCGTTGTGACTGTTATTGACATGAAACAGATAAATGGCCGGAAGAAACGATGATGCGATTGCTGCTGCTTTGCAGGCTATGGCTCAGGATATGCAACATCAGCCAATGCTGGTGTGAATGATGGATCTCGTGTTTTGGAGATGTTTTTGAGGAATCATCTGCCTGTTTTCAAAGGTAGATACGATCCTGATAGAGCACAAACTTGGCTCAAGGAGATTTATAGGATCTTTTGAGTCATGGGTTGCTCAGAGGCGCAGAAGGTGCGCTTTGGTATGCATCAACTGGAAGAGGAAGTTGATGACTGGTGGGTTGGCACCCGTCAGAAATTGATAGCGGTGGGTGATGTTATTACTTGGGTTGTGTTCAGTAGGGAGTTTTTGAGGAAGTGCTTTCCCGATCATGTGCACGGGGAGAAGGAGATTGAGTTTCTGGAGTTGAAACAAGGGAACTTGACTGTGACTGAGTATGCTTCAAGGTTTGTGGAACTGGCCAAGTATTATCTACATTACAGTGACGCGACTGCTGAATTCTCGAGGTGTATTAAGTTTGAGAATAGTTTACGTTCAGAAATCAAACGGGAAATCAGGTATCAGTAGATCCATGTATTTTCAGAGCTAGTGGACAACTGTAGAATCTATGAAGAAGACAATAAAGCTCATTCAGATCACTACAAAAGTTTGAACAAGAAAAGACAGAAGCAGTATCAAGATCGTAAGAAGCCTTATGATTCCCCAACTAATAAAGGGAAATTGAAGGCTTATGATGGAAACAAGATAAGTGGGGGAGGAGCTCTTGTTTCTGTGAAGTGTTATAGTTGTGGTGCACAAGGTCACCATTCTAATGACTATGATAATAAGGTGTTGAGGTGATACAAATATGGTAAGAAGGGTTATCATGCTCCTAAATGTAAGAACGGTGGTCCAACCCGTTTCAATTGTAGAGAGCAGGGTCATATCAGTACCCAATTTTAGAAGCCGAAGAGGGACGTTGTTTCCCAGACCAATGGTAGAGTGTTCGCTTTGAGTGGATTAGAAGATTCTAAGAAGGACAACTTGATTCAAGGTACTTGTTTTATTAATGATGTTGAATTGGTTGTTATTATTGATATTGGTGCTACACATTCGTTTATTTCGCATGAATGTGCTAATGTGTTGGGATTGAAGTTATCTAATATGAACGGTAGTATGGTGATATATACTCCTGCTAGTGGTTCTGTTGCTACTATTTGTGTTTGTTTGAAATATCCTTTGACTATTTATGGCAAGAGTTTTGTGATGGATTTGGTTTGTCTTCCCCTACACCAAATTGATGTTATTATTGGGATAAACTAGTTGGAGTTCAACTATGTTCACATCAACTATTATAACAAGACTTTGAGGTTCCCTAAGTTCGGTGATAATGGAGAATTGATGTTGTTATCTGCTAAGCAAGTGAATGAACTTATGGAAGACGAAGCTTTGATGTTTGCAATGTTTGCGTTGCTGTAGGTTGATGGAGAAGTTGCGAGTGTTGAATTACCTATCATCTATAAATTTCCAGAAGTGTTTCCAGATGACATTAGTGATTTGCCTCCAAACATGAAGTGGAGTTTTCTATAGATGTGGTTCTAGGTACAAGTCCAGTGTCAATGGCTCCTTACAGAATGACAGCTCCAGAGTTGAGCGAGTTGAAGAAACAACTAGAAGAGGTGCTCAAGAAGAAGTTTGTGCAATCGAGTGTTTCACTGTAGGGTACACCCATGTTATTGGTCAAGAAGAAAGATGGAAGTATAAGACTGTAGATTACAGACAGTTGAATAAGGTGACTATTAAGAATAAGTATCCACTACCGAGGATAAATGATTTGATGGATTAGTTGGTGGGTGCCTGATGATATTCTGAAGACGACTTTTCGAATGAGGTATTGGTCATTACGAGTACACTGTGATGTCGTTTGGTGTATCTAATGCGCCAGGTGTTTTCATGGAGTATATGAATTAGACTTTTCATTCATATTTGGATAAGTTTGTCGTGGTGTTGATTGATGACATTCTGATATATTCCAAATTTGAAGAAGAGTGTGCGAAGCATTTGAGAATTGTGTTGCAAGTGTTAAAATAGAATAATTTGTATGCAAAGCTGTCAAAGTGTGAGTTTTGGTTGAAGGAAGTAAGTTTCCTTAGTCATGTGATTTCTAGTGGTGGAATTATTATGGATCCTTCTAAAGTTGATGCAGTGTTGCAATGAGCGACTCTGAAGTCTGCGACTGAGATTCAAAGTTTTCTTGGTTTAGCAGGTTATTACCGAAGGTTCATTGAAGGATTCTCTAAGTTAGCATTATTGTTAACTCAGTTGACTCGAAAGAGTCAAGCTTATGTGTGGGATGTTTCATGCTAAGAAAGTTTCATAGAATTGAAAAAGAAGTTGACGACTGCTCTGATATTAATTTTGCCTAACCTAAGTGATGCTTTTGTGGTGTATTGTGATATGTAGAAGATGGGTCTTGGTGGTGTTTCGCACTGAGTAAGATGCGAGAAATGTATCGGTAAAGATTTTAAGACTAAGTCATCAATTGACTTAACTCACTCAATGAAGTTACCACCGCACTTTATTATTTCCAAAGGGAAATGGAAAAAAGCGAACAAAACCCAAAATGAAATAAAAGATCAGAGGTCGAGGTACGGGGGTCGATTATGCAAAGGGAATGTATTAGCACCCTAAGCATCTATGATACTCCACATGATCCACTTTGTTTGTTTTAAATCAATGAGTGTGTTATCTACATGATTACTTACTGAAGGAAATGAATGAAAGAGTATTTACAAATAAAAGAAAATGAAATGCTTTTTATTAGTTGTGCTCGCCTTTGATCGTGAGACCTAGTGCCTACGTACTCCCTCGTGCAATGGGAAAGTCAGAGCACCGTAGCTCGGCTAGAAAAGACTTGTTTGTTGATTGATTTTAAATGAAGAGACAAATCGTCATTTTTAGGAGAGAAATCTTAACTAATCACCCACAAGGTGTACGAAAGAGGGACAATGCATCAAACAAAGTGAGGGTTCGAGAACGCGTCTGGTACTCGAGTGGAAAAGTCGACATCCTTACAATCGCGGGGATAAGAAAATAACATCTCAACCATAAATAAATCATGTCTAATCTTGAAAAAGGTTTTAAAGGGAAAAGGTGCTCGAGCACACAAAAAAATATTTGAATGAATTGAAGTTTTTGTAGGCAAGATGATACATGGATCCCGACACTTATCATCCCTCTACTTTATGAAAACAAAGTTTGAGATTTGAATCCCACCAGAGGCTTTAGGAATTAAAGAAGGACCAGTCAGGGTCTGTACCCTCTCATCCTTCCCATTACTAAAGATTCTTGGAGGTGCGGCTCTCATCAATTATTTATTAAGATTTTTGAGAAGAAAATAAGTTTTTAAAAGAAAAAAGCGCTCGACAAAGTCGAGATTTATTATGAAAGTGATTTGAGTTTATAAACAAGAAAGTTTTAAAAATAGATGAGAAGGTTTTAAACATTAAAGAATGAGAAGGAGATGAATAAAGTGTCTTATGTACAGGAGGGTAAAAGATAAAGTAAAGAAGGTCTGACCAAATAAGAAACTGGTACTTGACATAAAGAAATCAATATAGCGTTCCCATCCATTTGAATTTAAATCCACAAGTAGATAAATAAGCCAAAGAGTATACCAAACCTCTGTTGAAAATAAATCACCAACATACATCATCAAAGAAACCCAAGACGTCAGATAATACTCAAAGTAAAAGATAAATCTCAAAGCGTCGGATAAGAATCTTTGTATCAGATAAAATTACCAACAAATAGACAAAACCAGGATAACAGAGAAATAAAGTGAAGTCTTGTGTGAAATAAGAACTCAAATCAAAGTGGGTTAGGGACATATATCAAAGCTAAATGTATGTATGAAGTAAATGTTTAATTAATTAATCAAGAATTGACAGAATTAATTAATTAGATTTAGAACAAATTAATTAACAAAATAAATTAATTTTTAATAATCAAAATCAACTAACCAAATCAATATTTGATTAATTAACTAAAAGCTACCAGCAAAGACAAAATCAAATATCAATTAAATAATTAAATAACACAAACAAAAATTAATTAAATTAATTGAAAATATTTAATAAAACTAATTGATTAATATTAGCTTAATTAAATAAAATCGAGGGTGCAAAATGAGATTTTCACATGGGCTAAAAGAAATATAGGAGCAGGCCCAACATTATTTTCAGCAAAAAGAAATAAAAGAACATGAAAGAGTAAAGGGATTACATGGATAATCCGGATTGGGTTTGGAGTATTTGGCCCAAAATTACGATTAAAAAAAAACCTCTGTTCAAAATTCCATTTATCTCTCTCAAATCGGTTCCCAGCTTATCACCATTTTTATTTCACGCTAAATTGTTGTTCTTCACCATAACACCAACTCCTTGAATTGCTCTTTCTCTCTTCTTCAACAATAAAACAACAACAACGAATTTCGAGAACTGACTCTCTGTAACAAGCATAAACTCCTCTTCTCTCTAAATCGATTGCTTAACCAACCCTCGAAGGCGAGGATTGCCTCGGTGTTTATTGAAATTGAAGCTCATAAGGAAGAAAATAAATCCAGAAACTCAGGTAATAAACCGCTCTTTAATTCTTCATAACTCTTATGCTCTTAAAATCTGAAATTCTGGAAAGGGAAATTATTGTGTTGCTTCTGGAAATTGCAGATTCTGAAGTTGCTTGGGAGAAGTTCTTTACTGCATCACAATTCTCTTCTTCTAATAATTTCTTCTCCTGCTTTCTTCTCTGTATTTTTTTTTTCTTCTGAAGTTGCTTGGAGGGATCATGAAAGCTCAATCCTTGCCATTTGTTCTTGTTGCTTCTTAGCCCTTGATAACTTTGGATGGAGGGTGTAGATTGAAAGTAGTTTGTGAATGAATGAAATCCGGAAAGTGTTTTGTTGCTTTGAAGAAATCGCGACCTTACTTCAAGTGTGGTCCCTCCAATTGCAATTGAGTTACCTATTTTGACATATTTTTGACAATAATGACATAATAATAATAAAAATAAAAGAAGAAAATTAAAAGCAATTGTTAGTAATAATAGAGTATAAAAGAGAGTAAAATAAAAATGCAATAATAATAATACTAACTAAAAATAATAATAAGAAAAAGAAAGAAATTGTTAGTGTCAATTACCAATAATAAAAGAAAAAAGAATTAGTAACAATAAAAATTAGAAAAGTTTAAATGAAGATAAAAAGAAACTAAAATTTGATTTTAATAATAATAATAATAATAATAATAATAATAATAATAATAATAATAATAATAATAATAATAATAATAATAATAATAATAATAATAATAATAATAATAATAATAATCCAATTTAAAAATTAAATTAAAATTAGAATTCCAATCAAATTAATTATAGAGAAAAATTTTAATAATTGAAATTATAATTTTAAATCAAAGTTATAAATTTAAATCAAATATGTTAATTTGAATTGAATTTATCAACTTAATTAAAACGAAAAAGATCAACTATTAATAAAAAGTGCAAAATAAAATATAAAATTAAATGAAAGAATTTAAAATGATTTTAATTTTTAATAATAATTCAAATTAAAAAATATTTTCAATTTGAATAAAATAAAAGGAAAATTTTAAAAGACAAATTAAATCGTTGTTAGAAATTAAATTATCAAATATGGTTCTAACTTGAAATTTAAATTGATTTTGAAGACAAAATATTAAAATTAATCGGATTATTGAATTAATTCAATAATAAAAAATTATGGATTACTAGGTAAGATTAGTTTTAAATCTAAAAAAACTCCGACTAAAACAAATTAAGATGCAAATGACGATATATATATATATATAGTGGACGATCAAAATAATCTATTAGTCCATTAATAATCCACTAAAACTTTTTAAAAATATAAAATCCATTCATTAAGGATAAAAATCTATCAAATTCATCTGTTAACAGTATTTTAATGGATGGTCATCCAAAAAGTTAATTTAAATATATATATATATATATATATATATATATATATATATATATATATATATATATATATATATATATATATATATATATATATATATATATATATATATATATATATATATATATATATATATATATATATATATATATATATATATATATATATATATATATATATATATATATATATATATATATATATATATATATATATATATATATATATATATATATTTATTTTTTGTAATTCTGAAAAAAATTTATATTTTGTATTTTCATAAAAAAATTGATTTTTTGTATTTCTGATAAAAAAGTCAATTTTTTTCTATTTCCAAAAAAAACTCGATTTACTGATTTTCTATAAAAAAACCTCGATTTATTATATTTCTACAAAAAACTTATTTTACTGTATTTGTGTAAAATAACTCGCTTTACTGTATTTTCGGAAAAACTCGAGTTATTGTATTCCCATAAAAAAAACATGATTTTCTGTATTTCTGGCAAAAACTCGATTTATTGTGTTTCCGCAAAAAACTCAATTTACTGTATTTCCGTAAAAAATGATTTACTATATTTTCGGAAAAACTCGATTTACTGTATTTTGGTAAAAAAAACTCGATTTACTATTTTTCGATTAAAAAAATATTGCTTTACTGTATTTTCACAAAAAAATCAATTTACTTATTTCCGCAAAAAACTCGATTTACTGTATTTCGGTAAAAAATATTAATTTACTGTATTTCCATTAAAACTCGATTTACTATATTTCCTCAAAAACTCAATTTATTATATTTTCTAAAAAAGAAACTCAATTTACTGTATTTCCATAAAAAACTTGATTTTCTGTATTTCTGGAAAAAAAACTCGATTTTTTGTATTTCCACAAAAAAACTTAATTTACTGTATTTCCATAAAAAAACTCAATTTACTGTATTTTTGTAAAAACTGGATTTACCGTATTTTCATAAAAAAACTCAGTTTACTGTATTTTCACAAAAAAAATCGATTTACTATATATATATTGAAAATTTTGAGATAATGATGCAAAATGTGTAGATTTAAATGAAACTAACAAAGATTATATTTTTTTTGAATTTTTTTAAAATACAAATTAAAGGAATAAATAAAAAATAAGAATATGCGAAAATGATTGTTTTTTCAAAAAGGGAAAAATATGCGTTTAGAAAAAAAATAAGGGGCGACAATGGGGTGCAATAGTGTGCTAATGCAAAATGGACATGTTGTTGCTTATGCTTCTAAGCAATTGAAGATTAATGAAAGGAATTATCCTACACATGACTTAGAGCTAACAACTGTGGTGTTTGTGTTGAAGATTTGGAGACATTATCTTTTTGGTTCTAAATTCGAAGTGTTTAGTGATCATAAAAGTTTGAAGTATTTGTTTGACCAGAAAAAATTAAATATGAGTTAGAGAATATGGCTTGAGTTGTTGAAGGATTATGATTTTGATTTGAATTACCATTCTGGTAAAGCAAATGTAGTTGCCGATGCATTGAGTAGAAAATCATTGAACATGTCAATGCTTATGGTTCGAGAATTGGAGATGATCGAACAATTTAGAGATATGAGTTTAGCATGTGAAGAGACTCCCAATAGCGTGAAGTTGAGAATGTTGAAACTGACTAGTGGTATAATAGAAGAGATCCGAGAAGGTCAGAAATATGATTTGAAGTTGGTCAATCAATTGGCCTTGATTAACCAAGGTAATGGAGGTGAGTTCAAAGTTGATCATAATGGTGTGATAAGGTTCAGAAATAGGGTGTGTTTTCCAGATATTCCAGAACTTAAGAGAAGTATTCTCGAAGAAGGACATCAAAGCGGGTTGAGTATTCATCCCGGTGCTACGAAGATGTATCAAGACTTGAAGAAGTTATTTTGGTGTCCTGGTATAAAGAAGGAGATCACTAAATTTGTTTATGCTTGTTTGACTTGTCAGAAGTCGAAGATTGAACACCAGAAGCCTATGGGTCTTATGCAACCTTTGAGTATTCCAGAGTGGAAATGGGACAATGTCTCTATGGATTTCGTGTCGGGTCTGCCGAAGGCTGCTAAGGGTAATGACTCAATTTGGGTGATTGTAGATAGGTTGACTAAATCGGCTCATTTCTTATCGATGAAGATCAATCATCCAATTGAGAAGCTAGATGAGATGTGTATCGATGAGATTGTGAAGCTACATGGAATACCTTCGAGTATTGTGTCGGATAGAGATACGAGGTTTACGTCAAAATTCTGGGAAGGTTTGCAGAGTGCTTTTGGTACTAAGTTGAGGTTGAGTTTTGCATATCATCCGCAGATGAACGGTCAGATAGAGAGGACTATTCAGTCTTTGTAGGATTTGTTGAGGGCCTGTGTGCTAGAACAAGGGGTATCTTGGGATAGTCACTTGCTGTTGATTGAGTTTACATACAATAATAGTGTTCAGAAGTACTAAAAGGACAGGCGGTTGCTTCAAGTCTACTTTTAATCAGAGGAAATCTAGTGGCAAAGAAGTCACTTGTTATGAGTGCAATAAGCCAGGACATTACAAGAATGATTGTCCAGAACTGCAGAAGGACAAGTCCAAGAAGAAATCTCTCAAGAGCAAGAATAAAGGGTTGATGGAAACATGGGATGATTCCGACTCTTCAAAAGACGACTCAAAAGAAGAACACGCTATAATGGCGCTGATGGCTCAAGCTGGAATGCCTGTTGAAAGGATCCTCCAGAAGATGAAAAATCAGATTCAGACACATAAGAGGTATTCTCCAAAGCGGTATTTTTTGACCTTACTCATTCTAAATGAACCTTTTCTTTAGTTGAAATTATGGAAAAACATGATTTACTCAAGATTAAATTCAAGGAACTTAAAAAGTCCCATGATCCCACATCTTCTGAAAATAGCAAGCTTAAGGAAGATCTCTCCATTTTAAATAAATAAAACTTCTTTCTCAAAGACGATAACTCTGCCCTCAAAGGCATGAGAACTCTCCCAGAAGATTCTGAGAGTACTAATGATGTTATCATGAAATATGACAAAGCATTTCATAAACTCTTAGCCAGGAGCATAGGGATAAGAATATTAGCTTTTATGATCTATGGCGTAAGCAGAAATGGAGCCAATGATATTGGTTATAACTCCTATGACAAATCCAATTCTCATAAGAAAGACAAACCTAATACTCTTCACTTCCATTTTGTCTCAACTGGGTTTGTGCCTAAAGATAAGGGAAAAGAAAAAGAGGAATCTACTTCTGAACCTAAGGCAAAACCTTTGGCTAAATTTAATTCTTGCAAATATGATTATTCCGCTGTTAAATCCAAATTTGTCAAAAACTCTGGGGGAACTAATAAGAGAGGACCCATAAAATTATGGGTACCAAGAAAAAAAATAATCTATGTTGCAGATATTCTTAGCAACACTATTGAAACGCCTGTTATAGTACCTGGACTCTGGTTGCTTGCAACACATGGAGGTAAGAAGACATATGTTCCTAAGTCTGAAATTTAAGCCTAGAGGCATCATGGTTATCAGAGCTGATCAAGAAAAGATTATGCTCTCTGAAATAGTTGGTAATGTTTTCTCTTCCCTCTGTTTACATTCTTAAATAATTGGTGGAGAAATTCATAATGTGTTGTCCTTCAATTAATTAAGTGACAATTATTATGATGTTGTTCTTATTAAATAATCCTATAATGCTTTTAGTTGAAAGAATGTGAATACTTCATTCAATGTTAGGGAAAAACAACGTCTCCATTTTCAGTCTTTCAAATCTTACAAATTCTTATGTGCACTTTTAAAGAGCGTTAGTCTTGGCATTGATGATTGGGCTATGTTAGATAAGAAGAATATCTTAGCTAAACTATGTTATATTGGTCAAAATCCTTCCTAATCTGAAGTTCTCTTCAGAAGATCTCTGTGAAGCATGTTAAGAAGGGAATTTTTTTCTTTCAAAAACTTCCCTTTAAGAAAGAATGTTGTTTTTACCTCTAGA